TGGCGATGGAGAGAGAGAGAGAGAGAAACTTGTACATGTATGGACTTGGTTGGATGCTTGGATGCTCCATGATGACTTGTGCGGGCCGTGATGCTCTGTGAGGAGACCCAAAGTTCTCACTACCATTCGCTCGATGCGGCCAGCCCTGCGACCCAACGACACCTTGATGTGCTTGTTCGACGTGACTGCTCTGTCACTTGGTGTGGTATCTTGGCTCTCCAGAATTTTCCCCTCCAAACGTTTCAAGGTGGGGCCTTTGTAAAACCAGGACTAGGAAAGATGAAATGTATTGAAATGTCCATTTGTTGCCATCGGATATGTCGCCACTTTTTGGACTTCCATCATCTTCCATTTTTTGAGCATTTGAGGTGTGGCATTGATTCCACGCAGAAAGAACATGCTGGTCAAACAATGCTCCCGTGGCTCATGTGTTGATTTGTTCAACCATAAACGGCTCTGAATTCATCTACCAAGTTCAGGTACGGTTTCTTTTTTGGGTACGTGCAATTAATATGTGTATATATATATATCCTAACCACTTCAAATATCTTCAAATGGGGGTTTCCTAGAATAGGGGTACCCCCAAATCATCCATTTTAAGAGGATTTTCCATTATAAACCATCCATTTTGGGGTACCCCTATTTTAGGAAACCCTCAAATGATCTAAGTCGCAGGGTGCCTTTAAGGACCTTTAAGGACCTTTAAAGCTTCACGCTTCCCTAGGCCACCTCTCGTGGCACGCAGCTGGTGGAAGATGAAGCGGAGCTACAGAGGCTGCGCGGGGCGCTGCTGACGCTGCGCATCCACGGTGAAGAAGAGCTGCAAGTGGAGTGCAGCAACTTGGGATCGCCTCTAAAAGTGGTTAAGAATGGAGGGGAATGGGATTGAACATGATTTAACCATGATTTAACCATCAAGAAATGGTTGGATTTACTGGGATTAAATGCTGCAAATGATGTTATATCTATGTAAGATTATGTAAGTATGTGCATAACTAGTATGTGATTGATTGGAATTTGCCCAACAAAACATGAGACTAGCTGTGCGCCATCCAAAAATTGCGGTTTTGCAAGGTCTTGTCATTGCCAAAATTCAGGTTTCTACCGACAATGGTCGATGAAACACCAGTCATCCTGGCAACCTTTCTCATAGGTAACCATGCCTCGGCGACGGTTTTTGCAGGATTCACGCTGCCAGCGAGGAACTACAAATAGAAGCAACTGGTTCATCAGGGTTCCACTCTTTTTCCAACGGTTCCAATGTATATTTTCAGGGTTCCAATGTGTTTTGTCACGTTTCCGACCTATTTTGTCACGGTTCCAATCACTACATCTCCGGAAACTATGCTTGGTTACCTGTCTCATGTGTACTGGAAGATTAAGGGAAAAGCAAAGAATTAGGGGATCCAGCCAACAGAATTTTAGAGCAATCGTTTGTGTATATTTTTCAGAGTCAATATCCAATAAATTATCCGTTTTTGCTAGTCACGACCCAACGTTTATTGCTTAGCATCCTCATTTTTGTCACTCGAAATCCAATTTTGACCTATCTATGCTACTAAAAATCCAATCTTTGTGAGTCAAAATCGCATGTTTACCAAGGTCTCCTTCTTCAAAGATCGCCGCAAATCCCATGGTTCCCTTCTTTTGCCCCCAACAAAATCACTTCAAAAGACCCCTTTTTCTACTGCGCAAGGTACCCTGGGAGGCGCCGTGGTGCTTTCACTGGAGCTTCCAGCGCAGTCCACTGTGGCAGATCTGGAAGAGCGAATGGTCACAGCACTGGGCGACAGCTGGAAAAACGCCAGCTTCTGGCTGGGGGAGCACCAGGCTCAAGTGCTGAAACAGCTACAGCCATGTGGCCTTTTTTTTGTGGCAGGATATGTATTGATTTATATTGCGGATGAATTTTCTTGATGTTATTCATGTAAAATAAAGTTCTTTTTAAAACTATGCTTGTGTTCATTTGATTTCATTTGCGCAGGTGTGCGCGTGTTCATTGATGTGTTTCTCGTCACATGTTTTTTTCAGCAAGAGATAAGCGCATATTTAGATGCAATAAGAACAATGAATGACAATTATCTGGATCACAACATCGATAATATTGTGGTCTCTCAAAAGTATAAGTGTGATCATTTTATGAAAAGTGCCTCATTTTCACTCTTTGCGGGGCTCCTATTTAAACGATTTTAAACTGAACGGAAGCGCCAGGTGTCGCAACAGTCCAGGCTGATGAACTGTGACACCCTGGTGGTGAAGGAGCCATGTCAGCAGTCTGTGAATCTGTGAACTTTCGAAGTCGCACAATGACGCATGGTATCCTGTTCTTCTCAAGGAAACCGTGGGGTTTTGGCTGTTTGTATCTATGAAACCCACCAAGATATTCTTTATGTTCCCAGACTTTCACAAATGGAGAGTTTTTCCCCACCAGTATGAACATAGCATGTTTTTTTAGATGTCCAACCCGAAAAGTCAGTACAATGTCCAAGCTTTCTCCATTTTTCCCCTTTTTTTGTCGAAGAAGTTTGGCCCCCCATTGGCCCAAGACTTGCAAATATGGTGCCCCCAATTCCAACGGATTATCCTCATGTTCCATAAATTGTTACCCATTCAATAGCAATTTTGGGGTGATCATTGTGTGATTTTTACCATTCTTTTCCATCATTAAGGATAAAAATCACCCAATTATCACCTCATTTATCCATATGATTGAATAGCAATTTCCCCATTATATACCTCATTTTTAAATATGTGTAAGACAGCCAAAATTTCAGCATCCAGGAGGAGAAGGATGCGTTGATGACCTGCCTCATCCAGCGCAACACCACGGTCCCCACCCGGAAGTCCAAGGTCTTCACCGTGGCATCGCCAGGACGGCTGATCCTGAGCAATTTTGGAGGAATGATATAGTATGCGTAGTAAAAATTACCAATGTTTTGAAGAAAAAACATGTCAAACTATGTAAAGAATGGAGAGAGAAATAGTGGTATAAAATAGATGTTATGAAGTATTGTCAGTATTGTGATTTGCTGGCAGTCATGGAGAGAGAGAGAGAGAAACCACATGAAAAAACTATCCAAGGTTCGCCAGGGTCAATTTAAAAGCGGTTGCTTGCTGCAAGTACTGCAGCCGCGTTAATGGAGCTCGCCGCCATCCACTGTCATGCTGTAAATGGGCCCTGAGGTATAAGCTTTGTCGACGCAACACGGAAAAAATAACCATTTCAAATTTCGAATAAGAGGGGACTTCAACAAGATAATTAATCAATATGCAGTAAAAGATAAACAAAAAACAGGAATTTGGGCATGGGCCAGTTCGAAATTCTGACCCCAAGAAGAGAATGGTTATAAAAGAAAGGATTCAAAATGGACCAACATTTGTGGTCCCCAGGACCTTTAAGTTTGACCCCTCGCTGGTCAAGCGGTCAACCCTATGAAATGTGGAAGTGGCATGGGGCTTGGAAGCTTAGCTAATCCTTATTAAAAAAGGAAATGACCCGTATTTAGGAATTCCTATTCCTACACATACCTTCTCATTACGTAAAACCCTAGGGAAGTAAAAGGACACTCTATGTGTTCTTGATTTCTAGTGGTGTTGATGGAAGTTTTATCAGCCATTACTAGGCTCATTTGCCACACCTACTTTCAGATTCCCAGGACAGCAGAGCGTTTGGCTTCAAATTCTCGAAGGAGAGCTGCCCTTTGCCAAGGATAACCATGTGGTGGGCCAGCTCCGTTTGGATGGACTCCAACCAGCCGCGGGGATGGGGGACCGACCTCTGGTGGAAGTCGGATTCGATCTGGACGTGCCTCGCTTAATGTGGCTGCGCAGTCTAGGGACGCCAGGGGGGCCAGGGAGGCCTTCGTCTTGATGTGTGCCATATCAGTGTAAGAGTCTCTACGATCAGTTTGGCTACGCAATTGGATCATCAAAATAAGTACTGGTAAACCCCTTCACAACACTGGTAAACACTCAAATGTCCGAGCACATACTTATGAAGGGCCTGTCAGACAGGGGCAGGCAGGAACACTTGCGTTTGCTTGCCGAATCAAAATGAGCTGCTTGAAAGGTCAGAATACCTAAATACTCAGAGATGCCCGGGGCCAGGGTAAATCGCTTCGTGCGATTTGTGTGTATGATTGTGATTAATTATAACATGTGGATTTGGTTACTGTATGTTTTGTGTGTGGGTTCTTCAACTCTCAGAGAGGGTCGTTTTTTTTCCAACTGGAACCCCATTTGTTTGGCTTGACATTTCAAAACCCTCCCCTCATCCGCGAATCAGATGACACATATCTGCGCAGGCAAGAAATAAGAGGACCATTTGGGTCCAGATTATGGTTCACATTTCCACCTGTTCAAAAAGTCTGGTAAGCTGGATTCTCCCCCTTAAAAAGAGTGTCAGTTCATCCGTGTCACAAGCCTGATTTCTGGAATGATAGATTCTCTACCTCTTTGGAGTTACAAATTTCATGGGACTCTTCTAAAATTGGCCGGAAAATTTTCGAGAAAAATCTTGCAGCTGGAGGGCTTGGTGTCGCATGGTGTCGCCATGACTTCCAGTTGCGGATCTTGGCTCACACCAAGGCTAATGATGTTCTGCACGTGACTGCCGCCGACTTGGGAACCTCGGTTCTGGGGTGGTACCCTCTGGTAATAACTGGAGGTTTCCAGAAATGATCCCCAAAATGGATTTTGCCGAATGGAAAATCCTATTAAAAGTGATGATTTAGGGGTACCGGGTACCCCATTTACGGAAACCTCCACTTAATATCACTTAACATTATATGGGAAATAAAGGTTTTGATTGGGTACGTCATCGACCTTAAGGGACCATGGAATCCAAGTAGATTGGGATAGGGAAGCACTCAGACATAGTGGTGGAGGCTCATTTCTTTAGTCTTTGTCCCTTAGGCACGCCCAATTTTTGGAGCAGTGCCCAAAGCCCTGATGGGTTGATGGGTATGTTGGGTACACTGAGTGGTTCAAGGGAGAACCTGCCTTCCAATTTTGGTCGCTGTTGCTACTTTGACTGGTCAAATCCTAGATTCCTGTTGCATAAATCCTCTATCTTTCTTCGATCACTTCACAGAACATGCTTGCCAGGTTCAACCCCCACGGTACGTTGGTATGTCTTAATCTTTTAATAGCTGTAAAAGCTGTTGTTTGCTTTAAACCCATACACCCCCCATGTTTGTTGTCAGCTGCCCTATTCGTGGCAAAATGTTCATTTGTCTTACTCAAATTTCCAAATTTGCGCTGGTCACATCCCAGCTTTTTTGTTGGTCAACTTCCATATTGTTTGTCATACGTCATACGGTAGTCGGATCTCCATGTTTGTTGATCACATCCCTACATTTATTTGTTGGATGAGATTCCCTTGTTTTGGTCAAAACTTCTCATTGTTTCATTGGTTTAAAACATATTAAAGCCATTTGAAAGCCTTAAAATCCCAGCATTTTTTCATGAGATTCCCACCGTTTCTCAAATTTCCTTTTGTTTCCCATCACTGGTGCTTTCGAGGCTCAGGCGCCAGCTCCAAGGCCTCCTTTCCATTCGACGCGCGCTGGCGCGTCCATCCACAGGACTTGGAGCGTGCGGTGCAGCGCGCAGAGCAGGTCTGGAAGGTGAAGAGCACGATCCAGGAGGGGGGCTTTGCTGGGGGGCCCTGGTGCTGGCAGTGGGGATTTTTTGGGGGGAGATTTCTATTGGGAGATCATTGGATGATATCGGAGATAGGCTGATAGGGTGAAACAGCATGTTTCAGAATGGTTCGGCAATGAAAATGGTGGATTTGGTCATGTCACCCCACAAAAAGTTTGGAGATAACCCCAGAATTATAGTCCTTTTTCGCATTGATAGGTGATTCAGACAAGAGAAACGTCGTGATAAATGATATGCCAAAGTGGCCCCTCTGTTTGTTCCAAAAGGACACTTTTCAGCATGTTTCACCAAGATTCACCAAGAAAACAGTGGATTTCACCTTTTGCTGGCAAAGATGATATCAAAGATGGGGATATTGAGATATGTTGAGGATGTTAACCAGCATTTCTTGGGAAAGTATGGGGAGCGTTGATTTCAGCCACGGCTTCCGGAAGGCCAGAGTCAATTAAAATACCCTGAATTTGCCATGGTTCGGTGGTTCAGTAATGTGGGTAAAACAATGCCATAAACCATCCCCCAGTCATCACCATAAATAGGTGGTTTGTCTACCATTCCCAAATGGGTGGTTCATTATTGTTTTAATTACCCACATTTTTTTCTGTTTGACAGAAGCATTTCGGGGTGGCCAACCCACGTGGCTTTACGAGGACAGGAGCGACCTGTTTGACCATTGCTGTCAAGCTCTCCGCCAGCAACGTGGCGATGATGCCGAAACCACCGAGTTGCTGAAGATGATGGCAGTTGTGGACTGGGATTTTTTTTCGGGTTTGGGAGTTGTCCTCTTTTTTTTTGATGTGCAACCCAGGAGTTGTAAGTGGTTGTTAACCCATGTTTGTAACTCAGCATGTACCCCATATACACTTGGCTTTTGTGTGCTTTGGTTGGATTGTTCTTGGCCAAGCCACTTACGATTCCTGGGATGCCCACGCACAGAGGCATACGGGTCCAAAAATGATGAAACAATATAAATATTAAGTCACCATTCGCCATCGAAATCTGCTAGAACAGGATAATGAGCCCACTGTTTCCATATTTTCGCGGATATCAGATACCTGAGCTACCGTATGTCGAAACAACCATAGCTTGGAGGAAATCTGCCAAGTCTTGCTGGGAAAAGTGAGTGTAGAAGGAGCAAATGATTGCTAACTACATTGAAACAGGTGACCAAAAAATGCAGAATGTTGGTGGTCATGCCAGCCAAAGTTGTGTCTATTCCTGAGTTGTTGGGAGATAAAAAGCGCTTGCAACACCAGCCTACCACTGGCGAGTTGAAATGTGCACAGGATGAAGCTGATATTGCTGACGATGTTGACTACAAAGCCCAACTTCAAGCCTTGGTGGCGACTCAAAACCACACTGCAGCCATTGAGGATCTTGACTGAGTAGCTGGCTGAAGAATATCCTGCTGCCTCCCGCTGCCTCCTGCTGCCTCCGGCTGCGAGGGCAACAAAAAGGGGGTGGAAGCGTCCAGCGAACGGCAGGTCGACTGAAAACAGGCTTACCAGCCTTAACAGATCAAAAAAGACATTTTAAGAGCTTAAAATGGAACTCTTTGATACCATGGCGTGTTCATTTAACAATGGAAAATCACCATGCTCAATCGGTAAAGCATCTATCAATACGCCCGGTCGCGGAGATTCGATTTGTCACTGCCATGTGAGAAATTGAACGGAGGCTACCATGGAAAATGGCCCATAGAAATAGATGGTTTACCTATTAAAAATGGTGATTTTCCATGGCTATGTTAAATAACCAGATGGTAAATCCTAATTATGAGCATATGTATCTCAACTTGATCTTTATCGGTACACCACCTTTCACTGGTTGGTGGTTTCAAGCAGGTTTTGCTTTCAATCCTACCTACTTGTAGGATGATGATCCCAATTGACTTAGTTTTCAGATGGGTTGAAACCACCAAGCAGTTTTTTTAATGGGAAAACAACCTTATAAATGAAAACAGGGTACGCCCAAATCCACTGGAGAATTATGGTTGTCATTGATTTTCCCAAGTTTAGGGGTCATACAAACAGTTTTCAGGCACAGCCATATGTGCCATATGGTTTATATATGACCATTTGGTTTCATTCACATCAGTTCATTATACTCTAAGGATCTATATGCCCATTATATCCCATTGTAGATTTTGTTTTAAACCCATTTATATGCAGTATATATACCATTAAATTATATACCCATTGTATTCCCATGGCGTGGGATGACATCTTTGGAGCTATGGAGGATTCTTTTCCAGCCGAGGTGTTAACCTTGGAAGATATCGTGGAAGAGATCATTCAAGAGGAGACAATGGGAAAAAAACGCTCCCCCTTGGGGAAATAAGCCCGAAAATGTGGGTTTTAAGCCTGCAAAAAATAGGTTCTGACACGGATTCACCATCAATTTGTTGTGGAAATTGGCTGACGTGGACCACGTGAGTTTTTGGACCATGGGCATCGTTTCTCTGGGGATTTCAACCGGGATAAAGATTTACTGAGGTAAACAGGCAACTGGTGGAGTTTCCATAGTTGACCCTCTGGTAAACATTTACACTTTGCGAACTGGAAAGATCCACCATTTTGTAGCTGGGTAAATCAACTATTTCAATGGCAATGTTCAATAGCTTTTTGTATGTTTACCAGAGGGTAAACCTCCATTTTCCCATGGTTTTCCTATGGTTTTCCACAGAAATTTTGGTGTCCACAGAAATCGGAGTTTCGCCAGCCCATGGATTGGTTGTAATGACCAGATACTTGTGAATCCAATAATAATGTGGATACATTATATAATATATATGTAGGTATAATATATATATATATATATATGGTACAATGTATATATATATATAGTGGAGAAAGCAACATGAAATATGCAGGAACACTAGACAACCGGCAGAACATTCAATCCTGCAGATGACTACTTGGTGGATCATCCCAGCCCAGTTGATTCAGCTGCAGAAGTAGGTGGCTCGTCATGGTCCAATGACATCTGAGGTTTTAGCACCTGGAATTGGGATGAACCACCAAAGTAATATACTAAAAAGGCAAGTATAATACAGTAATACAATGTACCCTCTGGTAAACTAACATAACTATGGAAAATCACCATTTTCAATGGGGTAAATCCACTATAAATCACAATTTTCAATAGCTATGTAACAAATTACCAGAGGGAAATATATTATATAATGATATATTATATGATATATTAATCACCAAGTAATATTAATAATATCAATATATTATATAATGATATATTGATATATTAATGATATATGACACTAATCACCAAGTAATACTAATAAAACTAGTGAAGTACTGGAATGAACCACCAGGTCTTGAGAATCGATGGATTTCCGTGGCCAAGGAGATCGTGGATGAAACCGATGTCTACGTTGTGGGCCTCAGCGGTGGGTCCCGTTGGGTCCCGTTTCGGTCGTGAAAAACCCATCCCCAATGGCCCAAGATCACTGTGAATAGGTGGTAAAAATCATCCCCAGGTCTGGTAGGTGTATGATGATTTATGATTTTATGATTGGGGGTACCACTTTTTAAGCTAGTTTGATCATTGGGTAAAAAAAGATGATGGGAACTTGCCTCAAGTGTTGGAGATCTCGTGCATAGGGAATTTCCATGCACCAATGCGTTCCGCTGCAGCGAGCTGGCATTTGGCACCACTTGGATGAGGTGAAGCCAAACTTGTTAAGCTTTGGCATGTCAGCATTGAAGCGGATGCAGATCTCAAAGAACCTGATCGCCAGTGGCCTCATGATAGCTTGCAGGAAGGTATCAAACCATATCCTGGTCCTTCATAGCGCCAGTCTAGGAGTCACCTTGAAGACCATTTGCGGAGGTGGATGGAGGTGGCATTTCTGGTGCTGACCGAATCCTGGAAGCATTTGCAGATCAAGATAGTGTGGTCCTCATTCAGGATGTTCCGCTCGCTGATTCTGAGCTGACGAGCTTTGAGGAGCAGGCAGCAAGAAAGAACCGTTCCAGATTTCACCATTATTATCTCGCTATTGTTAAAGCAACAACACCGAATTACCAGAATGTTCAATGGGTAAAAAGAGAATGCACTGCAAGCTTCAGGGAAACCACCCCAGTTAATGGGCGAATCGTTCAGATTGAACAGATCCTCCTGACCCAGATCCATGTAGATCCATTGCAGTCCAGCGGCCCCAAGTCAGTATCTTCACAAATGAGATGCTCTGCAGGGCATCTGATTGGTGGGTTCAAACATGTTCAAACATTTTTTATTTTCCATAATATATGGGATAATCCTTCCCATTGACTAATATTTTTCAGAGGGGTTCAAACCACCAACCAGACATCCAATAAGGAAACTCTGCAGGCGATTTTCCAATTCTGAGGCAGGACAGGCTCCAGGAACGTGGCCGTCGAGCCATCTTCACGTCTACCTCAGTCCGTACTGCGTGATGATCAGTGAACGAAAGGTTTACCCTTTTGGTAAACGTTTACATAACTATGGAAAATCACCATTTTGAGTGGGTAAATCAACTATTTCTACTGGGACATTTTCAATAGCTATGTAACAAATTACCAGAGGGCAACCATGTTTAACCCGAAAGGTTGTTTCTTCTGGTTCCGCTACAATATGTGACGATCGTAAAAAACCCAGATCCTCCGGCCCAGATTGCCTAAAAAGATTCTTCGGGATGACCTAAAATTTGCTCACTTTTGAGAGATGAAAAAGGTAGTCATGCAGTAATAAATCACCAATATTTTGATGGTTTATACATGTTTATACATGTCTATACCACTCAATAAAATGGCGATTTGGAGGATGATTTAATATTGCTGTACATGTTTGAGTACTCAACCATCCACTTTCGATGGACAATCATCGTGAGTCATAGCCTCTTCTGAATCAGCATGCTGTCCCCGAAGTAGATGAGAAGGGAGAATTGAAACCGGAACCCCCTGTGATTCTTGCGGAAACTCCATGGCTTCCTGTAAATGTTCCTTTACCTCAATCCAATGATACAGTGATATTTGTTGATTAATTAAATTCCATTTAATCCCATTAAATCCAATTAAACAGAACAATAAAATCAATAAATCCCGTTCAACGCCTACTGCAATCGTATCCAAAGCGCCCATACCTCTTCACAAATAGTCCCGTCCGAGGTGGATGTGGATCGGCGGTTGAAAATCGGCGGCCGAGACACCACCAATTTCAATCTAGGCGGGCAGCAAAAGACGTGCTGATATTATTATATTATAATCATTAACCCATATTATTGATAGCTAAGATATTGGCAAATATTAATATGCTCATGATGGCTCTATGATTATCATGTGTTTCTGTCATTGGCTATGATATGCCAATGGTTTAGCATGCCATTGACATGCACCGGCTTGTATACATGTACAAACATGTGCATATATGTGCATATATGTGCATATATGTGCATATACATTTGCAGTCGCATAAACTATATGCTCGCAAATGTTGTGCACAATGTACCTAGAGCTGTTTTAGGCACATGCAAACGCATGGACAGGAATAGATGTATCATTGCCCGCGCACAACAACAGTTCTGGGTGATCAGCTTTGAACACCACAAGTATCCCCAGAGCTTTTGGTGATGACTATGTATAGCAGTTTGCTAACTGGAAGCCAGTTTTGCTCATGAAGTTCGAGGAAATTTTGTTGAAAAACGTGGTGGTTTTTCCCAGGGATTTTGTTGTTACCCTCTGGTAAACGTTTACAGGTTGCAATGAAAAATCTTCTGTTTTAATAGGTAGATCGGTAGATCATCTATAAACGGGCAATTTTAACTACCGCTACCAGTATGTTAGTTGGCAGTCATTGCCGGAAAAAAAAAACCTCCCCTGCAGGTCATGTTATATGTGTACCCCCATTTGGTCGAGCAGCAGGTGTGTTCAACCCCATTTGGCGCTCGAGGGGTGACAAGTTGAGCCTCGAAGAGGTGGATATTTGTGCTGAAAAAAAGGGGATTTGACCACCAGAAAAATGGCTTCTTCTGATGGGATATAAAATGACATAATATGATATGATATAGTATAGTATAGTATGATATGATATAGTATAGTATATGATATAATATGATATGACATAATATAAAATGACATAGTATAGTATGATATGACATAATATGATATTGCATCATACGATAGAATATGACATAGACATACCATGATATGACATGACATGTTATCACATCATATAACTGATAGAAGATGGTTGACGCGTTGACAAAGAAACATTGACCTACCTGGTTGACTTTGGGGAGTATGAACTAATCCGTATATAGTATATAATTACACAACGGGATGTCTATTTACCAAAAAGGATTTCATGGACTGGGATAGGGGTATTGATCATGGTCCAGCGGACCGTCGATGGGAGGATGAACATTCTGTGCCAATTATTTTTCCGTGAAGGGCAAGGGTGTCGAAACCCCATACTGTACCTATATTTCGTTGAGTTTTGCGATAAAATGATAAAACCGGTACACAAATCGGGGGAGAAAAATTTGGGGTGAGAAGGTTCCCAGGCATGGAGATGGGAGCTGACTCTATGTAACAACGGGAAATTGTTGTAAATTGATGATGGTTGTTGCTTCTCCTGACACCTTTGGCATTGTGATGGATTGTAGTCCAAAAAGATGGAAGAGTTTCAATCCCAAATCTGTGGCCTTTCTTTGCTTTTTGGTGAGCTCGGACTTGGTCTTGCCATCTACTCAATTATGTGCGCGGTCGGCCTTTAGCACCCCGCATCATTCTGCTTAAATGCCCGATACATTGGGAGTGATTGTAGCAGTTGCAGCTATCGCTAGGAGTCCATGAACTTCACATGAGCGGCTTGAGAGTCTGGCCCAAAGATGTTTCATGGTTTCTCCAAACAGTTTGTTGGTTAATCGTGGCGAATCCGAACAGTCAGCCTCCGCCTCTGACACCAGGTGAATGCGATTTCTGCGCACCTCATGCGTACAGCCTTTGCAGCAGGCAGCGCGGAGCTTGTGGTGTTTCTCTTCCGGGGAAAAGGTTGCCAGACTTGTGAACGCCAAAAAGAGATCCCAATAACTCCCTACTTGAAACTACGACCGCTTGGAATGCGAAGACTGTCTATTGAGATTCGAGATATCTCAGGGAATCGCAACATTGGGCTCACAGAGAAACAACCGTTGCCACTGTGCCGTTTGTTGACTCTGCTGCTAAATTGTCCTTGTTTGCAGTGAACATGTGCAAGGGGAACGGCTGCCTTTTAAATGCCATTCTTGGAGGTATGGTTTGTATCAGATGATATCAGATGCAAGCTCTCCAGCCGCAACACCTTCCAGAGATATGCAGAAGCCTAACAGGGTTGCGAGTTTCTCGTTGGAAAGGGTGCTGACACAATGTGGACATCACCCATTGTTGCCCACCCATAGTTCTTCTGCAACACCCGAGATTACAAAAAAGTAAAACATCACCCAGACATCATGTTTGAAAGGATCCTAGAATTTGAATTGGATGGATGATGGGAAAATCATGGAAAATCTACCAGAAAACTCCAGAATTTATGGTGAACAAGATTTATAATGGTTTCCTGTAGGTTTTACCTCAAGCCAATCCATAAGAACTGTTACCCTCCAGTAAACTAACATAGATGTGGAAAATCCACAAAAATTGCAGATAGTTTTCTGAACGGAAAAGCCATGTGTTTTCCCCATCTTTCTGTAGGTTTACCCTAGGGGAAGTCCATCCCATATCATCATATATCATCCATGTAGATTCACCATTGAATCACGTATTTGTATGATTTTGTATGATAATGATTTATGATATATCATCATATATCATCCATTATTTGTTACCGTACATTTACCATCCATTCCCCCCACCAGGCAATGGCTGCGCCTTGCAATATGAGACCATCACCTGGTTGGTGGGGGAAGCAGAGGTTGGAACGCCCAGCACCGTGGCGACCGTTGATGTAGCCTCAGGTCCACTGGGTCGCCTATGGTCATTGAATGAGATAGGATTTACCCTATGGATTTACCATTAAATGACCATAGGATGTCCCATTAAATGATCATAGATAATTGGATTTCCCATAGGGTTTAATGGTATAGGATTAATGGTATAGGATTAATGGTATAAATATAGATACCATGATGTTGGATTAATTATTTTATAGGATTTAAATCTATGGTCATTAATGGGAAATCCTATGGTCAGTTATTTAATGGTATAAAGATTTTCCATGAGATTTAATTGGATTTACCCTCTGGAAACTTCAACATCGATATGGAAAATCACCATGTTTAATAGGTGACTCAACGAACTAAATGGCCATTTTCCATAGCTATGTTGATAAGAGGGCACTTGAAAATCCTTTGCAAATGAAAGTTTTAATGGGAAAATCCTATAAATGGTGGCTACCATTGCCATGATTGATTTTTTTACCAGTAACAATCACAATTCTGGTGATTTACGGGATTCCTGAATGGATGTTATTGGATATGAATGGGAAAGGTGCATATATTGTTACCAATGGATAGCGGATATGTAATACACCAAGATCCAATAGTGGATATAGGGGATATTAATGGGATATGGTGTATTCTTGATGGGATATCAGTGGGAAATTTATGATCGTAATAATACGGCCAGGCACTGCGTGTTGCCCGGAAAGTCCAAATGGCGGTTAAGCATTATCCTTCAACATGCTCATTACTATCCCATTGTTATCCCAATGTTATCCCATTATTATCCCTACTAAACCATAGAAAACAATTTAAAACTACCATTATCCATGTGAGTTTTGTATCTATAGTAGTAATAAAAAGTAGTTATTCCATTAATCTACTAAATTGTTTTACCATTCTATTATACTTTTTTTTTAGTAAACGAAGATCCCCACTGGCTGCGGCAGGTGCAAAACCTGAGCCGGAATGCCCCTGTGGGATTGGATCCAAGCGACACGGATTGGCCTCTTGGCGGAGAACCGGCAGACGGCACAAGGAGACGGAAGATCCATAGAAACCCCAGTTGGACATATATATATAGTATATATATATATAGATATAGTATGATATATGATATAGTATGGTATATGATATATGGTGAATTCTATGGTTTATGGATGTTTATCTGGTTGGTGGTTTGGAACATGTTTTATTTTTCCATATGATAGGAATAATGAATCATGATCCCAACTGACTTCCATATTTTTCAGAGGGGGTAGGTATACCACCAACCAGATAATCTATGGGAAAATATGTGAAATTGTATCACCACTATATGCACAAGCTGGTTGTTTGGTTTCAACTACTGCATGTGTTTTTCCCCATGTTTGGGGCGATGATCCTTAAACGCTTGGAGTTGCCAGCACTGGGGTCGACGTCGACATGAATCCAAGAGAGTCTCTTGACAGAGGTTTTTGTAAGTCCCATTGCATTCCCCTTACATTCCCATACAGTCTATATGTATATACAGAATATAAATCCCATTAAATTCCAATTCAATACCCCTAAACCCCACTAAATCCCATTCAGTTCCCCTAAAGTTACCATTGCATGACTTCACCTTGAAACCATCAATTCCTCTTAAGTTCCGTGCAAAGTCGAATTACAGTAAATCCCTTTAAATCGTACTAGATCCCAGTAAATTCCCATTCAGGCTCGCTAGTTCCCATAAAAGTCCATTTAAATCGCATTAAATTGCCATTCAATTCCAATTCAATCCCATTAAGTTCCCATTAAATCCCATGAATTTATGTTGTTTTATATTCCATTGAAAGATTGCTCAATCTTCTGGGCCCCAAAAAATAGATCCTCATCCTCTACCAAGGATATACCGTCGTGGGCAAGCGTCGAGCCGATGCACTCTGGTGTTGCAAGGCGCACTTTGCGGACCTCAGAAGTTGCGCCATTTCGGGGGTGTTTTGAATTCATGTGGGAAACTCACTATTCAATAAACCTACGATTTTTGGAGGGTTTATACTACCCAGCAAATTTCTGATATTGAGGATAGTTTACGGCATTGGGTTTGTTAGGGGACAAAAAGAGGAATAAGATCATAACTATCCAGTGGTGAATGGAGGGAGCGATGAGCTGAGCTAGGGGTATTTACCCCTTCCCTCTAAGTAGCTAAGTAGCTAAGGAGCTACGGATAGAGTTTCCCAACCGACAGATAAGCAAGAAACATGGTGGATTCATCAACAAAGATGAGGGTTCAAGCAACAAGAATGAAGTTGTGAAAATGACCAGATATGTGGTTTAAGCAACAAAAATTGAGCTTAAATCAAACCAATTGGTGGTTTAACCACAAGAAATTCGGGATTTCATCAACAATGCTGCGCAGGTACAGTATATGTTTCTAACGTACTTGACGATGGATGCATGCTACTGGCAAGAAGATGTGCGGCAGAATTCACAAAGCTCAGACTTGACTGCTCCCTGCATTTGTTGGCCAGAAAGCAGTCAACATCATGTATTTGCATTGCCTGGCCGGGCGTGCAATATGGCCTGAGAAGATGTCGATGAAGGGGGGAGTTCACATGCAAAAGTCATCAAAAGTCTCATTCTTCTAGCACGTGTGGCTATTCTGGAGATGAGTGGAGTCAGGCGAAATGGAGAAAGCTGTGGGATGATATGCTCAAAGCTGACATACAAGCGAGAAAAATGCCTCAAATCTATCCAGAAGAAGAGCATGATTCCTATTCTTTGTGGGAGTCAGCGACCGGCCATGCTGGTAAAGTTGTTAAAGTCGAAGAATTTGGCTTTGACAAACGTGATCAACGTTCAGGAATGGAAATGGCAGGTCGCAAGAAGTTGAGATGCTCTACCGTATGAATCTCAACGGGCCTGAAACACTGAAGAGCAACGTAGTTCACAAGGCTGAATCAGGACTGCCTGCAAGACGTCTCTGGCTGTCGAAAATCAATCCCAATTACTTGTCTGTGACAGGTGACAAATACTTTACCGCCTGAAAGGTATCATACATCGTACCGTGATGGGACTTTGACAGTAAACCGACCAACTGGCCAGACAGAAGGCATCTAGCACCACTTTTCATCGGAAAAGCCCAACAACTGGTCGGAGCAAAACTGAAGGTGATGACCAACTTCCGGAAGATCATCCTGCCAAAGTGTCCATGTGTCCATTGCCGTGAGTTGCCGCTCAAATTTTCATAGATACATACGGAAAATCTACCTTTGGAGCATGCCCTGGGATTTCCTCATGGGCTCTCTATACCTATATTAAGATGTATTATAGGTACAGTTTCCCCATAATTTCATCACATAGTATTATACTGACTTGACCTTTGGAACAATTTTTAATTTTTAGATTTGCATCAGTCGATTGACTTGCGACGTTCGGAAGTCTCCGGCTCAAGAAGCCGCAGAGAATGATTTTCTGTGGGATGTTTTCTCTATGTTTCTTTAGGTTTTTTAAAAGGTATGTTTTCTCTATGTTTCTTTGGGTATTTTTCTTAATTGGCCCGTGGGCGCGGGGCGTAATGATGGGAAAGAAATCATTGATTAACTGGATCTCTATAAGTCTATAAGTGTATATCTTGGCACGAAACTTCTATTTTAAATACAGCGGTAGACTAAGTCGCCAGCGTGACCTACGCATACAATCACGCAATACGCAGGGTAGGGAAGCGGACCCAACAAACGCTTCGGGGAACGCCGCACCAGAACGGAGAGAACGGTGGGAACGGGGGAAAAATATGTAATAAATATCTGTAAACATATGTGTATATTAAATCTATCTCTATCTATCTAACTATCTATCTATCTATGTATCTATCTATCTAATCTTCTAAACCACCCGCCGACGCGTCTGGTGTCTCCTCATCTGTATCCTGCGCCTACTCCTATCGAGTCCTTCTAGCAGGTTGGATCCAAAGTAGTGTAGCAAACAGCTCCTGTTGCAAAGATCTTGCAACCTGACAGAGATGTGACATGCTGAACAATGCGTGTTCTGCAATTCCGGATTTATTCAACGGAAATTTCAAACAGCAAAAAAGCTCTAATGCGCAGGTCATCATCGTGCCTGACACCAGCTTCGAAATCCCAATTGCTTACGTCGTCCTCATCTGTGTCCTGCGCCTACTGCGGCATCTCCACCATGCACAATGGAAAAAAGAGGTTATATAAATTACTTTACTTCGAGTGATCCCCACCATGACATTTATACATTTTGTTACTGGCAAATCTTCTGGCATTCTATCTGGCATATCTTCTGGCATTCGATCTGGCATTCTATCTGGCAAATCTTCTGGCATATGTTCTGGCATATCTTTTGGCATTCTATCTGGCATTCTATCTGGCATACCTTCTGGCATATTATCCGGCATTCTATCTGGCATACCTACTGGCATTCTATCTGGCATATCTTCTGGCATTCTACCTGGCATATCTTCTGCAATATGTTCTGGCATATCTTCTGGCACTCTATCTGGCATATCTTCTGGCATATCTTCTGACATTCTATCTGGCAAATTTTCTGGCGTTCTATCTGGCAAACATTCTGGCACTTTATCTGGCATACCTTCTGGCATTCTATCTGACATTCTATCTGGCATACCTTCTGGCATATCTTCTGGCATTCTATCTAGCATATCTTCTGGCATTTTATCTGGCATATCTTCTGGCATTCTCTCTGACATTCTATCTGGCGTTCTATCTGGCACATCTTCTGGCATTTATCTGGCCATTGAGGTCCAGCGGTGCCCACTGAGCTCGGAAGGTCCCACCAGCGGCGCCCACTGAGCTCGGAAGGTCCCAGGTTGAGGTCCAGCGGTGCCCACTGGGCTCGGAAGGTCCCTGGTTGAGGTCCAGCGGTGCCCACTGCGCTCAGAACCTTGCGGTTGAGGTCCAGCCGTGCCCACTCAGATCGGAAACCGGCAGTTGAGGTCCAGCAGTGCCCACTGCGCGCGGAAGTTGGCGAAGAGTTGGCAAGGCGGAAGTGGACGTGGAAGTTGATACAGACATGGTCGAGGAGAAACTGGAGGAGGAGGAAGAGGAGGAGGCGGAGGAGGAGGAGAAGGAGGAGGAGGCGGAAGAACAGCTCTGATAAAATCTAACAACCCTCACCTGGCAGGTGGGGAACAATGGTAACGAATCTCATTGCAAACAGTTTCTACTACGAAGACAAAAAAGCCCAACTGGGATTTAGGGTTTCCTTGTCAAATGTACCCGGCAACCAACTTTGAGCCATGCAAAACAGCTTTCACACTCCTCTTGTTTCATATTCCAGTCGACCCTATCGCAGCACAGGGTAGGGGCGCAGGTGAGAAACTTGGAGTAAGGCAAAATTTGGAATAAGGCAAACGCGAGATGTGTAGCACACACAGAGTTGCATGCTCTGGCTTTCAATCCTGCAGACTGATGCCCAAAAAAACTAGGTAGGTCACCCGTTGCTTTGTTCACATAAGAAAACCTTGAATCAAACATGTGGGCAGCATCCCCTGAAGTAGATGCACCTTCTTCTGGCGCAAAGGGGCTGGCCTGGCTGCAAGACAGGCTGTTCTTGGATTTTTGTCTGTCTTCTTTTGCCCTGGTGTCTGTCAACTCTGGGCCCAACAGAAACAATAATAAGGCCAGATCTATTTTACTTTCGAATATGGTGACCTTGACTGAAAATGCCGGTAAACCACCACGGATCACTGATTGGTCATCTGCCAATGGGTGCATACGGGATCACAGCGGCACGTCTTTTCCATCTATGCCATGTCCGCAATCCGAACTGGTCACTTGCCATGCTTCTAGGTCCCACGCCAAGCTTCTATTGCCAAAGTGGATGGTTCAGGTTCCATTTGCCCTTAAGGATAACCTGCCCTGCAAAAATGTCAAGATGTCCTGTTATCCCTAGCATGGGGTGGAAAAATACGGACGTTTACACGGGCATCCCATCCATGTCACGCAAGCTGCAAAACAGCGAGAAGGACAACCTACTATGCAAAAATCGCAAAATCATCGGGCTATGCGCTTGTTGCCTCACCCATCAGAATGGTCGGAAGCATCATCA